TCTTCCGCCCTCTCAGAGCTGTGGCATTTGATGAAGGCAGCATAAGGTTGGCTCAAGAGATCCTGGGAAACAAAATTGAAAGATATTCTTGTTGCAAAAAAAAAAAAAAGTTTTGAGGTCTACACATCTGGTTTTCCAAATCCGAGCTTTCTTTGAATCTTGCTGAGGACTCCTTAGATATAGAAAGTGGACTTTACAAGGCGAAGTCTCTACGCGCCAGAAATCCCTTGAATTTCCACAGGAGCTCTGCACTAAGGCAAGATTCCCCTGGCTCCCAACAGTAACCATGTGGGCTCTGAAGCACCATCTTTGCAGCTCTATTCTTCTGAAACGATTCATTTTCTGAAGTCCTACACTGGGAAGTGGAGCGAAAATCCTATTTAGGAGTGAGGGGAGAGAGGAGCGCATTTTTATCTGATTTTTATCTGATTTTTTATCTGATTTTTTATCTCTTCCTAGGGAGGCAGAGGGACTATAAACCTCGCCCACCTTGGCCTTAGAAGGAGTGAAAGGATATCTTTATACGGCCAACACAAATTCGGTTCACACCTGTCATCCTAGCCCAGTGACTAAGCGAGCTGCCTTCCTCCCCTTCACTCTCCAAAATCTTTCAGTTTGATCAACAATTTTGCATGCCCACCCTGGCTGCTTTCTCTGTCATTAAACAGGATGCTATACAATCACCCAACCCCACCCTATCAAAACTCTTTGAAAGGAACACACCTCTCATTTGACCTGAAAGGAAATTGACTTCACCTGTTAACACTTGAAAACTGTCGCCATCTTGTGGTCAAAAGCTGCTGTTTTGCCTGCATGGGACAGGACCCTTTGGCCTTTTTCAGAATAGGTGGAAGAATAAAAGGGACATGGAAAATGCAGAAAGGACCAGAGAGCTGTAAAATGCACATCTCATTAGCATGCCCTCTTGAATTTGTTGATGAAAGAAAATGAGAATCATTTTAGGAGATACTAATGAGGCAGGAATCAGGCCTCTGCTTTTAGATGCTCTGATTTCAACAAAGAGATTAAATATAGGCAGCTGGCAGGTGAAATTGTCTAATGTTTAATTCATTCAGTCTAGCGGCGATGATGGTATTTAATTACAATAAATCCATTAACAGATATTTAATTCGTGTTTGGGATCAGAGCCCTGAAGGAACGCAAGCCTACTGAAGGAGAAGCAAAGGACAGGGTGGGGGCATTCAAGGAAGCTTCCTTAAGAAAGGGACTTGTAAGCGGAAATCAGAAACGTGACTAGACAATCAGGAGCGGAGGGCGACTCTGGGTCAGGGACGGAGGCGTTAGCCACGTTTGAAGAACTGGGTGACTCACAGCTGTCGTTGTAGGGAGACGGGTGATGGGTCAGCGCTGAGAAGGTGGCAAGTGCAACCTGGCAGAGTGTCACAAGGTGCTCAGGCTTTCTTCTAGGATCAATGGGCAATCTCTCACATGTGACGAGCCGAGATGACACACTGCAGTTTGGAAAACATTGTCCTGGTGGCAATGAAAGGCTTGCAGAGACAGCGCTGCTTCCGGAGTCTGACTGAACGTCGTGATGGTAAGAAACGAGCACAATTCTCTCTTTCCCTCTGCAAATCTGCCTCTTAAAAATGTAAATAATTAACTTAAAAGCAGACAGGGAAATAGAGAAGGAAACATAGCCCTGATTGTGGAATGATAATGGTTGAAGACACAGTCCTAAGTGCCCTGTGTATTGACTCATTTCATCCTTGCAAGACTGCTGTGAGATGGATACTAACAGACTCAGAAATGAGGTGCACAGGAGACAAACACCAGAGGCCATCCCTGTGACCCCGACACTGCACTGCCAGCGGACAGAAATAAGAAAACGGAGAAAGTGTGTGGTTCTCAGAGCTGTCCCGGAGGTCAAATCCGCAACCTGACGACGCGCTGACACAGGGCACTAGAGATGCGCCAAGGATGATCACCAAGCTGCCAGCGTTAGGACCCTGGAGGCCCGCTGGCTTGAGAGCCATCCGTTTGGCTCTGCAGATGTTGCCTTGAAGCAGTAATTAAGACGGCCAAGAGCAAATACGGAGAAGGCAGTGGCTCAAGAGACAGGGCAGCCGTGTGGACAATCACTGTAGCACTTAGAAAGCCCTCATGTCATAGTAGGGTGTCCAGGGTCAAGTCCTGGCTCTGCTCAATCCCAGCCACCTGCTAACTCAAACCCCGGGGGGCAGCAAGGTGACACCTCAAGTCCTTGGGACAAACCTCCCAAAGGGGACACCCAGTGAGTCCGTGCCTCCTGGCCTCATCGGTGGATAAGTCCTCTCCCTCCTTTTCTTTTCTCTTCCAAATAAAGAACGTGAGGTTGGCACAATGGCTCAACTGGCTAATCCTCTATCTGCAAGCACTGCAATCCCATATGGGTGCTGGTGAATGTCCCGGCTGCTCCACTTCCCATCCAGCTCCCTGCTTATGTCTTGGGAAAGCAGCAGAGGATGGCCCAAAATCTTGGGACTCTGCACCTGCATGGGGGACCCAGAAGAAACTTGGGCTTGGCTTGGCTCTGGCCACTGAAGCCATTCGGGCAGTGAACCAGCAGATGGAAGATCCTTCTCTGTCTCTCTTTCTTTCCACAAATCAGCCTTTTAAAAAATGCAAACAACTAACTTAAAAGAAGATAGGGAAATAGGGAAAGAAACGCAGCCCCTCATTGTAGAGAGACAGTAAGATTAGGAGACAGTAAAAGGAGATTAGAACTTAGCAGGGGGCAAGGGGATGCTGGCATTTATTTGAAAGATAAGCCTATGTAAATAAGATGACGATGTGATCAGATAGAAATAAAGTCAGCAACTCCAAGAGATGCTTCCAGAAGCAATGAAGAACCACGATGGGTGATGCGTGCTGTGGGGTGATTGCGTGAAGTGGAGAATTGGAAAATGTGTGTGGCATCCCAGAGTAAGCAGTGAGGGAGGTGTGGTGGCAAGGCCTGGAGGGGGAAGGAGCTGGCAGCAGAGAGCAGGGAAGGACAGTCTCCTGAGCATATCCGACTCAAATTTTTGAGAGGCTAGTGTTGTGGCAAAGTGGATTAAGCTGGTGCTTACATTAACATCCCACAGTGGAGCACCAGTTCATGCTACTGGCTGCCCCACTTACCACCCACTTACCACCCAGTCCCTGCCCATGCACGCGGGGACAGGAGACACGTCCTTGGGCTCGTACTGCCCACATGCAGTTGCTGCCTCCTGGCTTTGACTCAGTGCAAACCTGCTGTTGCAGTCACTCAGGCAGTAAACCAATAATAGCTAGCTAGCAAAACTTGTCGAGGGCCTGGCATTGTGGCATAGCAGCTTATGGGCACCAATTTGATTCCTACCTGCTCTCTGATGTGGATCTCTTCTGATCCAGCTCTGCTAACGCAGCTGGGAAAGCAGCAGTAGACAGCCCACACCCCTCTGCTCCTGCACCCATGTGAGACCCAGACGAAGCTCCTGGCCCAGTCCTGGCTACGGCAGCCAACTGGGGAGTGAACCATCTCTCCCTCTCTTTCCTTCTTTGTAACTTTACCTTTTAAATAAAATTTAGTTTTTTTTTTTCTTAAATAGCTGAATGCTTTGGGAAAAACTGATACAGGCAAAAATGCTACACTTCCTGTCCATTTAGGGACAAGAGGCATACATACATATAATAACCTTGCACTAAACAACTACCACACACTGCATGTACGGCAAAATATAGGACAAATGTAGTAATAGATTAGTGCCTAAAGTGCAACTCTGTACTGTGCTTAGTAACTATAGGAAAAATCTGTTATGCAAGATTACATTTGTGCTCCAATTTTAAGAAAACTAAACCATAAATCACAGATGTCTGACTTGTACAAAGAGAGTAACAGGCAATTCCAGAGAACCCACGGTCAGTGACTAAACCATTGGCCTTATCTTGAGATCGGGATGGATGAGAGCGCATTTTTGGTGACTCCTCATTTCAACTGCTTTCTTCATTGATGGAGGACATCTGGACCAAGGTGCCATCAGCAGGCAGCCATCCTGACAAAAGCGGCCCTCCTGATGCCTTTCCCAGTTCCTTGGCTAAATGGGTTTCTACTAGACCCTTGGAGACCTTCACCTGCTGTATGCAGCTACAACAGAATGCCCAAGAAGCGGTAAACAGATTCTCTCAGTCGTGCAGGCCAGAAGTCCACGGCTGAGGCACTGGCAGGTTCCTTCTCTGATGCCAAGATGACACCTGCTTGCTACATCCTCTGGAGACTCGAGAGAAGCCTCTCCTCACTCCCATGAGCCCTCTGTGTATTGGTGATAATCTGCTTGTCCTAGCAGGGCTCTCACAGACCCAATCACCTCCCCAGAGGCCCACCTGCCCAACACCACTGCGCTGGGGATTCCGTTGCCAACACGTGGATTTTGGAGACAAAAACGTCTTCGTAAGAGCAGTGCCACCTGCTCCATCCCCTCTCCCAAGGAATCCTATTTTTGCCTACTTCCTCAACTGCATCCATACGTACTGATGAACACCTAGTCTGTTTTACTATTCTCTCAAAATACTCCTCTTCCACATGGAAGAAATTCCTTGCAAGGGCCACTGGATATTTCAGATCCGCACCAGAGGACACTACGGGGCCCTGCAGTAGGATCTTTTAAGCATAACTTGGAAGGAGAATGGCAGCTAAGCATCAGAGAGCAGGGACAAAACCCACCAGGGGCCCAGAATTAAAATCCTATCTGATCTGCTCTTCAGACAAAACAAAAAAAAACCCCATCAGAATGGTGGATATAGGCAACTTCTGTTTTTCTATTCTGATAAAAACAGAGACTCCAAATGGGGCCCACACAGTTGGCTTGCTGAAGGCAGTTTCTGGGGAGAATGACTCGGATCTAACACTGGATGTCCTTTGGTCGTTCCTGGCACTAAAGCACTGATTGCCGTTTTCTTGGTTCTACGAGAAATGAGGTAATGTGTGGATCATTCATAAAAAGAGTCATAGCCATCATAATCAAAGAGACACAAACAACTTTTGCTTTCATTTTAATTTATTCTGTGCATTTTCAAGTTAAAACATTATAAATCACAAAAGCTCTAGCTAGGGTACTGACCAGTCATCATGTTACACGTGGGTACTAGTAACACATTAATAACACACAGTTCTAAATCCTCACAAATCTACTTGTCCAGCAGCAGCAGCGTGCCAATGCCTCAGAGCACAGGACTCTTCCTTTAAGAAACCACAGCCGCAGTATCTGGTGACCAGTTATGCATAGAACCGACTTGGAGGGCAATGGTACACATCGCTCATCCAACAGTAGTATGTGTGCACCAACACACGGTACAGGGAACTTATATTAATCTAAGATAAAATATTACTTTCCATGCTTTAAGTTAAGAACTCTAGGACGCTTAGGGGACAGACACTGGGTGCTTGAATGCTATCCTCCGCGGCAGAGCACCAGCTCCAGCGTCTGTAACCATGGTAGACCGCTCCGTAGCTTTTAAAGCCAACTTCAACTGGGAAAGCACCACAAACTCATCAGTCCATTCCTAAAGTTACACTGCAGGCTACACTTTACATTGAAACACACCTTTTGAAAACAAAACAAAACAAAACTGGCTTTTAAAAAGATGATATCTTTACTTTCAAAAGTTGTTACTTCACAAGTAAAAATAAACTTTTCAATACTGCAAGATGTCATAGTTTGTGAATCTATCAACCCTACGTTTTCCAAACTTTCAAATATTTGAAAACTGTTTTTAAACCTAGTAACATCAAAGAAATGGGTCAGTGTGCCTTTAAACGGCTGTCTGGTGTCCAACTTGTGTTTGCACTATGAAAATGTCATTACAAAACTGAGTTCTACATCTATATGAGCATTAAAAACTTCATTCAACAGTGCTATACAATATTTTAGTGGCTTTGGCATTTAAATTTGATCAATGTCACTATACAGGTAATTTCTACAAAGAAAGTTTAGCCTAGAGGAGGACTGGGCAGCGGGCAGCCGGGATGGAAATGAAACCATCTCCCGAAGCCCGCGAGGCAGCCTACTCCATGACCACCACGTTCTGTGAGCACTGTAACAAGACTTGATGCTTGCATGCGTTTTAACTGCTGGTAACCTTTGAAACCTCCAAGCCAACCACAGACGAGGCTAGTCTACCTTCTACTGAGAGACTGAAATGCAGTTGCGCTGTAGGCCTGGTAAATCCACTTACCTCCCCCACAAAACTTAAAAACAGCAAAAAGAACAAATACACAATACCACACAAATAATTCTGCATCGTCTGTCTTTCCTTAGTGGCTGTAGAAATATCCATCACGACTAAGTGTGCAATAGAATGCACAAAACAAAGATTAGTTTGTAGGCTCCTTATACTGGCATTAATTTCTCCTTACTCTCCCTAAGGGCTTGTTAAAACAAGGCAAGTATGAGTTATTAATATACAATTAGGTCTATTTCAAGTAACTTACACAGGAAATTTCTTAAAATTCTATAAAATGAGGCATGCTTTGAGGCATAAATGTTAACAGGTAATGCTAACCTCAAATGGGTTCACTGACGTCAACGTAGGCTTGAGCCCTGCGACTTCCACCAGCCATCTCTCTCTAACACTGACATGACCGAAGCTGGCCAGCTGCTTATAGTTTTTCAGCAACCATAAAGCAGAATCCACAGTTTCAAACAAAACTTTAAATAACTTCCTAGGACCTAGATATCTAGGGGGCATCTCTCCCTTAAGTGACAGTCACTTCGATGTGACTCTAGGAACCGTCATAACGAAAATACAACACTGCTTCCAACAAGGAAATGAAGGGCACTGAACTCCCAGTTGCTGGAGTTCTCCCTGCACAAACACACAAACACTAAAGTTCTGTTCTGTGAATTCCCTTTCTATAGCGCCAAAGAGCTATACTGTGACCAAGGAGGTGTCTGTCAGGAATACAACTTAGGGCAGGGCCAGCACACTGTTCAACCACCCGAGCAAACCATCGGCGTGAAGTATGAGGTATCAGGCACAATCACACACTGTCGTAAAAGAGGTATGATGGGTTGTCGAGACAAAGGCTGAAAACATTAAAAACTTGGGTTGACTACATGAATTGGCTTGGCATCTCATTTCTGCACACAGCAAGTGTAACACTCCACAGGCAGACTCCTTCACCCCAATTCCTCTCCCCTTGTAAACACTCCTTCCGAAGTTCACTTCAGACAAACACAGAAACCCTGGCAAGTCATTTCCGAGTTCAGAGGGTGTTTTTACCCATTGTTTGTCCCTCAGTATGCTGCATACCTCTGAGGCCTTGTCACTGAATTGCTGTTGTCACCTCCGGCAACACGCATGGGGCGTAGTTCTCCCATGCAAAGGGAGGAGCCACTCCTACTCTTCTTAAAGAAGACAGTTCTTACGCTTCTAAGCTTCTGCTCTTAGTCGTGGAATACGTTCAGCCAAAAACATATTTCACAGGCGAGAACTATTCTCCAATAAAAACTGGCTATCTTGGGAGGGCAGGAAAATTACCACTACTCTTTTATTAACCGAGGATTCCAGCAATAGTTAGATGCACCAGACGGGATCATTAGGAAAAAAATCATTGCCCGTTCAAGTGCGACACAAAGCTTTCCCATCACAGAAAATGTTTATTTCACACGTCTTGAAATCGCTTTGAGGAGTTACAGATTTTTATCACATCGCCCTGTGAATATGTAATGAAATGTGTGGAATAATTTGGTTCATATTCTGAGTCCGGTTCTTTGGAATCACTTTTCATATTGCAGTCGACACAGGCATCTTCCCACGCCCAGCCCAGAGGCTCAGCAGGAGCGACAGGGCCGCAGCGCTTCCTGGCACCAAGCTCCCCCACTGCACTCCGCCTCACGGCAGCGGGAAGTCTGGACAAGGCCATGCTTGCTGCCTTAGACAGTTCCACTCCAGCACGAATCAGTCACTGCGGCCTCTTGCTGCTCTGAACTTGGCTTCATGGATGTCAGGGGTTTTGGCAATTTCTCCTGCCTTTAGTTACACCACTTGGCGTGTGACACATGATCCTTTGGTACGTGCCTCATTCACAAAAATGCAGTAAAGCTTCATCTACTTTGGGCTATCTTCATTTCTTAGGCCCTGTAGAGCATTCTGTTGTTGTCGTGCAAGAAAATACGGGATTCGCTCATTCCTCCAGCAGCAAATATTTGCTTCACTAACATCAGATATTCGCCCAACTGCTCTGTTTCCATGCTTTCCTGCACACACAATAACCTTTCTCTTCAACACTAAATCATCGTATAATCTTTTTGGAGACATCTTTAAATGCCAATTAAACCTGACACATTTGCTACCAATGACACACACGTTGCTTAGGGTGATGACATCATGACAGCCGATTCACACATGCACCAGCCTGCGTGACAGTAATCAGATGCGTTCCAATGTCAGGCATGTTAAAAATGCAAAAAGCGTACATTTTAGGACTCAGAAAACACAGGTTTTCAAGCCTGTCACACCAAAGCAAAGAATAAATAAGCCCAGGAGCCAAAAAATGAATAAGTAAAAAGCTAGTGAAGCAAAAGGTTATCTAGAAGATGAAACTTGCAAGGGTCCAACTGGGTTTAATTCCCTTTATTTTCATATGGCTTACATAGACATCTTCTCATGGATAAAATCCAAGTACATGTGTTCTTCAGCCATTCAGTATATTCCCAAGCCAAGTCACCAAGCAGAGGCTTGCAACTGCCCTTCTTCGGGTGCTATTCCAGGGCGGCGTGGGGGTGGTGGCCTTCGTCGGCGGGTGCCCTGCGCTGGCGAGCAGATCGGATCCTGTGTGGAGATGCAGAGGCGTCCTCTTCCACTTCCGACCCTGGTGGCTCGTGATCTCCCTCCTGGGACCCCGTGTCTCCCACCAGCTCTCGCAGAAACTTGAATTTGGACAGAAACAAGTGCCATACAAAATACCAACCTAAAGAAAGATGGAAACATTAAGAAACGTGATTATAATGTAATCAAATCAAAACATTATGGTTAGTTCATGGGGAGAGGGTTAAATCACAAAACAGTATACGTTAATAACGTAATAGCTACTATATATTTTTAACACTAAAGCAACTTAAGCATTCCCAATGTACAATGCACAAGCCATTATGAATAACGAATGAACTGCCTTGCACTGAGTAGTAAGCAATTTGTAAAATGTTCAACTGACGAAAGCTACTGTTAATTCTTTGCCAATGGGATCTGAGGTGACTTCCATTGTGTTTAATTTGTCATATATATATGTAATTGACATATCACAAATCCAGTATTTTCAGTATTGTCAGAAGGCTATGCAACATCACCAGTAAGTATGGAACATTTTTATCAAGCCCCGAAGAAAACCATAGTCACTTTATTTCACACAGGAGAATTTGCCACCAGGCAGTTATAATCCTGTTCAAAGATGCTGGTTTTGATCTAACACCCAGGAGTCCACCTGTCGCTACAAGGTGTACAATGGTCATAAGGAAGAGGGAGGGTGGCTAGTGCCACGGCTCAGCATCCTAACCCTCTGCTGGCAAGTGCTGGCATCCCATATGGGTGCCAGTTCGCATCCTGGCTGCTCCACTACCCATTCATCTCCCTGCCTGTAGTCTGGGAAAGCAGTAGAAGAAAGGCCCAAAGCCTTGGCAGCCTGCACCTGCATGGGAGACCTGGAAGAAGCTCCTGATTCTGGCCATTGTGGCCACGCAGGGGGTGAACCAGTGGATGGAAGATCTTTCTGTCTCTTTCTCTCTCTATAAATCTGACTTCCAAATATAAATAAATAAATCTGAAGAAGAGAAGGAAGAGCAGGAGGGGGAGGAGGAGGGAGAAGAGTGAGGGAGGGTGACAGTGTATGAGCCAAAGAGACCACGGTGAGCTCATCCAGCACTGGGGCAGTTACCATGAAACACTCCCCTCTCTCTGGACCGGTACACAGTCTCCCAGAAGAGAAATCTACAATAGGCAAACAAGGATAGCTATGGCTGCCAAAGCCTTGAGATGCCAGAGCAATTCTATTAGACTCTCTCTTTCCCAATTTTAATAAACTAAGACCTTTCCTTCTTCTTCTTTTTTTTTAAATCACTGCTAGTAATCAAACAATGTTTAAGAGCCTCAGTACCAAGTCAACAATCAGAACCTGAGGTTCGACGTTGTGGGATAATCTGTCAAGACCTCACGTGTAATGGCTGCACCCTGCACCACCAGAGTGCCAGGGCCTGAGTCGGATCTGCCTCGCGTGCAGCTTCCGGCTATGCACCTGCGGGCAGCCCGGGAGCTCCCAAGCACTCACGTCTCTGCCACCTGGCTCCTGACTTCAGCAATGTTTGACCCCAAATGTTGTGGGCATTTGGGTCATGAAAAGCAAATGGGAGATCTCTCTCCCTGTGTTTATCTCTCAAATAAAAATCAATGAACATTTTTAAAACAAAATAGAAAATCTTCAAGTCAAAAACGTCAGCATGTGGTGCCAAGAAGAGAACTCCAGAGTCGCAGCGGCAGAGCTCTAGTTCCTTTGTCTACCTGCTCCAGGTAAACCGAGACTCCGCAACTCCAACTGTGCTTCCAAGATTTAGTTCTTTTCACATCAAAGTCAGATATACAGAGAGGAGGAGAGACAGAGAAAAGGATCTTCCACCCACTGATTCATCCCCCAAGTGACCACTGGAGCTGAGCTGAGCCGAAGCCAGGAGCCTCTTCCAGGTCTCCCACACGGGTGCAGGGTCCCAAGGCTTTAGGCCGTCCTTGACTGCTTTCCCAGGACACAGGCAGGGAGCTGGATGGGAAGCAGGGCTGCCGGAATCAGATCTGACAGGCAAATAGGATCCCAGCAAGTTCAAGGCAAGGACTTTAGCTGCTAGAGTTGGGCCCCACCACTGACTTTTATCTCCAGATCTGAAGATATGCAAACTTGAAAAGTGGGTCTAGTTCTCCCTACTCTAGCTGGGCTTAGTCTGTGTGAGGGTTAGGAGGAAGCAAGAGATAAAGATAACCACACCCCACAAAAGCCTGTGAAGTTGAGAATTCCATTCATGGAAAAGGAACAGACGTGGACCACACTGTTTACAGTGACTCTGTAACAACACGGTGGATGTGCAAGAAAAAGAGAGAAAACTGCAGTGGTAGGAGGAACGGTGGAGGAACTCACTAAACTGAGGGAAGCTCAACAAAGTGGCCTCTAAGTAAAACGACTGACTCCTTACACAGTGCAGAGCTGAGGCAGAGGCGGCAGGCAAGCCTCCAAACCACAGTACACAGGATGGGCAAGATCTGAGGCCGCTAGGGACGCAGACAGAGCAAAAACTGCACCAGCCAGAACCAAGGCTGAGACTATCAATGCCAGGTGGTTTCTTGCAAAAACTATACACATTTACTTCGGAAAAAGGAACTATGATTAATACATCAGGAAAACTTATGCCTTAGAAAATGAGAAACTAAAAGGCACTACCATGTCAGATAAGCAGGTAATATTGAATGGTCATGGTAATTAGATCCGAGCATAACTGCTTGGCTGAGCATGGTGGCACAGCCACACCCACAGCCCTGTCAGCGTGCCAGCTGAATCCTGGCTGCCCTACTCCTGATTCAGCTCCCTGGAAGAGCAGGTGATGGTTCCAGCACACAGTGGGAAACCGGATGTTCTTGGCTCCTGGCTCCAGCCTGGTCTAGCCCCAGCTCTGTAATCATTTGGTGCTGTGACTCAGTAGACAGAAGATCTTTCTCTGTCACTCTGCCATTCTCATAAATAAAACCTTTAAAAAAGAGAGAAAATGCTTTGCATACATCTAATAGCCAATGTATTCTATTAACTGCACTGCCACATCATATATTTCTAGTATGTCACATTCCTTTTAGCTGATTAGTAGAACTCTGGTACATCAGTGGTAATTAAACTTCTTAACCTGAGTCGTTCCGTTGGATAATAAATTCTATTGAACTTAACCTTATGTTTAAAGGCATACTTTTCCCCTAAAAGGAAATGACTCCTAACCTCATCTGACCCCAGCTAGCCCCACTCCACTCTGTTCTGTGCTCCAGAGGTCAAGGACCTATCAGAGTGGACAGCGATCAGGTTGTGTTACCTCTTAAAGCAAGCAAGGCAGATCCCAGGAAGATGGAGAGTTTGGCCAAGAACTGTGTGGCTGCTGCAGTGGGGACCACCCATATCCCTTAATAATGGTCAAGGAGACAAGTGCACTAGGGGTTTTTGTCCAGGCTGACAACCATGCCTGCTCAAACTCTGAAAGCACCATGCAGGAGTGGGCCCTGCAGCCAGCTCAGAGTGCCTCCTCCCAGCCCCAAGCAACGAATGCATACTGGTCCTAGGGCCCACACTGACTTAATCTGAGACAGAATCTAGACTGGGGTTGAGGATAGGGGCAGAACGATCTTAGAAAGCTGGGGAAGGAGCCACAGTGTGCAGACATGTAGGAGGGGAAAGCAGGGAAGAAAAGGAGACAGAGGATGGCCTCTGCTTGACAGCCTTCTCTTCTTCAGTGCCTGGGAAGCCTGCTGTCCCGGCCGCTCCGCTTCCCATCCAGCTCTCTCCTGTCCCAGCCGCTCCACTTCCCACCCAACTCTCTGCTGTCCCGGCCGCTCCACTTCCCATCCAGCTCTCTGCTATCCCAGCTGCTCCACTTCCCACCCAGCTCTCTGCTGTCCCGGCCGCTCCACTTCCCACCCAACTCTCTGCTGTCCCGGCCGCTCCACTTCCCACCCAGCTCTCTGCTGTCCCGGCCGCTCCACTTCCCACCCAGCTCTCTCTGCTGTCCTGGCCGCTCTACTTCCCATCCAGCTCTCTGCTTGTGGCCTGGAAAAGCAGCAGAGGATGACCCAAAACGTTATATCTCTTGGAGACACCAAAGAAGCTCCTGGCTCCTGACTTCTGATCAACTTAGCTCCGGCTGCTCTGGTCAGTGAGGAATGGACCAGCAGATGGAGGGTCTTTCTATCCTTCTCTCTATAACCTTCTCTGCCCCAGGAGCACACATGCCACAGCAGGTCCTGAGATGCAGGAAATGAGAAACGGGGGTGGGGGGGCATGGAGGACAGAGATATGACACGCAAGGGACCGTCCACAAGGACACAGACCCATCAGCAGACACGGACTGTTAAACCAAGTATTGACTGCGGTTTGTTGAAAAGCCACGTCCACGCCTTGCTGCAGTCTTACACCACGCGAGCGTGTGTGCTCAGATAAACCAGCACCACTAACGTGTGCACCAGTCACGAAGCACTAGGCCAACGCTGAATTCCATGGACCACAAGTACGCTGCTTCTCTGCGCAAGCCCAGCGTGCGGGCAGAAGGCAGGGGATGGCAGATGAACACCGCCCTCAAGCACACCGCAAACTCAGGAGTCCAGTGTGACATCTCCTTCAGCGACACAGTTCTCAGATCAAAAGCACTATGACATTCAACCTTTCACTTAACGCTCACAATCCCTCAGAATGAATGAGACTGGCCACCATTATGCTCATTCTCAAGATAAGAAAAGACAAGCTCAAAATGACACACAGCTACAAAAGAGCCAGAGCAATAGATTTTAACAGTGTATTAAGTGTCTTGGCTATTCAAGTTGAGACCACGGCCAGCTGTTAGGACTATCATATTTGCATTCCCTCCAATTGACAGACCACTCTCTTCAGTCACAGGAGCTAAGATCTCTCTCTCACCTCTCCCACCCTGCTACACTACCTTCCAAATCAATAAGGACAAACTTTATTTTTTAAAAGGTCAATAGTTTGATATTTGCAGTTCTTTCATAACTTGTTTTCCGTGAACTTTTTGATAATCTCTTGTATGCACAGATTTCAAAATCTTTTGCAGCAAAATAAGCCTCGCTTTAATTCCACTTTCCCATGAACTTTTTGAAAGATCCCCAGAGATAAGCAAAACGTAACTAATCTTCAACATTTTCAGCTGCTCTGCTTCCCACCCAGAT